CCTCCCAATCATCCCTCTACTTCTCAAAAGTCAAAAAAAGGTCCGTTAACACCTCCTACCCATCTTCCACCTCCTCATTTTCCCTTCCCTGTCTCTGTACCTGGTTCTCCCCCTCTCACTGGCTCTGTTACAAGTGTAGAGGTTCACCCTCCTCCTCGTACTGTACTTTCCTTCCCTGTTCCCTCCCAAGTTTCTTCCTCTTCTGCCACCTCCCAGGTTTCTGCCTCTTCTGTCCCCTTCCACGCTTCTCCAGTTCCCTCCACCCATCCGTCCCCTCCCCTACCTTGGTACAGTCCATTACAGTTCCAATCTTTACTCATCCTCCCCCTACCATTTCCAATATTGTCTCCCATACGACGTCTTTGAATTCTGAAACACTTGAAGCAATCTCTGAATATATTGCAGAGACCAAACCATCAATGGACACTGATCCACCCTCCGCTCCTTCTCTCTCCTCTACTCCATCTGCGCAACTCCTTTCTTCACAGCGCACCATTCCTTCGCTGCTTGAACGTTTTCCACTGCCTCCGCATGTGGACTTTTCTAACCCCTCTAGTCCGTAGGAACCCTTACCTGCGGATTTCAGGTATCTTTATCATTGCCAGTCATGGCCTATTTACAGTGGAACATACGCGGCCTCAGGGGTAATCGGGGTGAGCTTCAGATGTTACTCTCCCAGTTTTCCCCTGTTGGTGTTTGCTTACAGGAACCAAAATTACACTCTGCTGTTATCTCTCCCATATCAGGCTATAATTTATTGTATTCTTCAAATCCTTTTCCTGATGGGACCTTTAATGAAAGTGCCCTTCTTTTACGCACTGATATTCCGTACCATCAGCTATTTGTTCGTACTTCGCTGCATTACACAGCAGCCCGTATCCACTTGCATAGGTGGTATACGCTCTGTTCTTTATATCTCTCTCCTTCTCGGGCATTATCTATTCCGGATATTGCCTTTCTTGTTTTGTCATTACCACCACCGATTCTGTTACTTGGTGATTTTAATGCCCACCATTTCCTCTGGGGGGGGGGTGGGTGTCTCACTGTGATTCCCGTGGCATTCAGTTAGAGGCTTTTCTTGCCACCCACCCCCTCCATGTTTTAAATACAGGTACTCACACCCATTTTGATCCTCAGACTCACACTCTCTCTTGCATCGATCTCTCAGTCTGCTCTTCCTCCGCCGCATTAGACTTCACTTGGTCTGTTCTTCCGGACTTACATGACAGCGATCATTTCCCAATCATTCTTACTTCCCCTTCATATTCACCACCTCTTCGCATCCCACGCTGGCAATTTGATCAGGCAAATTGGAACCTTTACTCACACCTAACTGTTTTTAGAGAGGTTCCTTCTTCGTCCTCCATCGATGAGCTTTTACACCTCTTCTCGTCCTCCGTTTTAACCTCAGTTTCTCATTCTATACCCCAAACTTCGGGCAGGCATTCTCAGAAATGCGTGCCTTGGTGGTCTCCTGCTTGTGCTCGTGCAGTACGTTTGAAACGCGCTGCATGGGGCAGGTACCGGTACAATAGAACCACAGAGAGACTTCTTGAATTTAAGCAGAAGCGTGCGATCACTCGCCATGTCATCCGTGACGCTAAACGCACTTGCTGGCAAGATTATGTCTCCACCATCACCTCTGCTTCCTCTATGAGTGCAGTCTGGAAAAAAGTACGAAAACTGAGTGGTAATATTCTCCTGACCCGGCTCTGTTTTGCGGGTTGCCGGTGTTGATATAGCAAACCCACTAGATGTTGCCAATGAAATTGGCAATCATCTGGTCCGTATTTCTCAGGGACTCCATCTATGCCCCTCATTTCTTTCCTCAAGTCTGCCAGAGAGTTAGCACCTTGGACTTTTCTTCTCTCAGAGAGAATAGTAAATGTGCCTTTTACACTTCAAGAACTGGAGGCGACACTCTCAGCTTGCTGATCATCGGCAGCTGGCCTGACGCATTCATATTCGTATGCTACAACATTTACATCGTCAGCCCTTGCAGTCCTATTACGCCTTTACAATCTTATTTGGTCACAAGGAGTTCCTCCACAGCTGTGGAAATCCGCCATTGTTCTCCCTTTCCGCAAACAGGCACTACGGGACATGAAACCTCCCACTATGTCCCATTGCTCTTGCCAGTGCAGTTTGCAAAGTGATGGACGCCTAGTAAATAGACGTTTAGTGTGGTATTTAGAGACACACAACAGTCTCTCCACTCGTCAATATGGCTTTCGTAAGGGACGTTCTACCATAGACCCTTACTACGCTTGGATATGTATGTTCGTAATGCCTTTGCGAATAACAACTCAGTTTATTGCCATATTTTTTGACCTTGAGAAGGCATATGACACAACTTGGAGGTATAATATTTTAGCCCAAGCCCACTCCTTAGGCCTTCGAGGCAATCTACCATCCTTCCTTAAGAACTTTTTAACTGACAGGCATTTCCGTGTTCGGGTTAATAATGTGCTCTCCCCGGACTTTATCCAAGCTGAAGGTGTCCCCCAGGGATGTGTTCTGAGCACAACACTTTTTCTCCTTGCTATTAATGATTTGGCTCTAGTCTTCCATCAGATATTTGGTCATACTCTATGTTGATGACTTCGCTATTGCCTGTGCAGGCGCTGACTGTCACCTTATTACAGTTTCTCTCCAGCATGCAGTCGACCGTGTTTCCAATTGGGCCACCACACGTGGGTTTAAATTTTCCAGCACTAAAACCCACCAAATTACTTTCACTAGACGCTCTGTCATCTCCGATCATCCTTTGTACCTCTATGGCTCCCGTATCCCTGAACGTGATACAGTCAAGTTTCTGGGCCTCCTCTTTGATCGTAGGTTATCCTGGAAACCTCACATTACCTCTCTGAAGGCAACTTGCCACAGCCGGCTGAACCTTCTTAAAACCCTTGCTCATCTTTCATGGGGAGCTGATCGTCGAACCCTCCTTCGCCTACATTCCACCCTTATCTTATCGAAACTTGATTATGGTGACCAGATCTATTCAGCGGCATCTCCTGCTACTCTCTCTAGCCTTATCCCATTCATCACCAAGGATTACGTTTATGCCTTGGTGCTTTTCGCTCTTCCCCTGTCGAGAGCCTCTATGCAGAAGCGAACGTTCCATCCTTATCCGATCGCCGTGATGCCCATTGCCTTCGCTACTATGTACGCTCTCATGATCTCCGCAATCCTTCCATTTATAGAATGGTCACTGATATTAGTAGACATTCTTTATTTGTTCGCCGCCCCTGTTTACTCCATCCCTTCTCTCTTCGCCTTTATTCGCTCTTGTCTTCTCTTCAATTACAACCTTTCTATGTACATGTAGCATCTCACTTTTCCCTACCCCCCTGGGAAGTTCCAGCTGTTCGAGTCTGTTCTTTCTCTCTCCCTTGCTCGAAGCCCAACTGTCTATGGTCGCTTCCCGCTCTCTTTTTCTTGACCACTTTCACTCATTCTCATGCCATTGCTGTGTACACAGATGGCTCTAAGTCTTCTGACGGCGTAGGATTTGCAGCAGTGTTTCCGGACAGCGTCGTACAAGGGCATTTACTATCTTCGGCTAGTTTTTACTGCTGAATTGTATGCCATCCTTACAGCACTTATCCGTATTGCATCTATGCCTGTGTCATCATTTGTGGTTGTCTCAGACTCCCTTAGTGCTTTACAGGCTATACAGAAATTTGATACACCTCACCCCTTAGTCCTCCGTATCCAACTTTGGCTACGCCGCATCTTTACCAAGCATAAAGATATTGTTTTTTGTTGGGTCCCTGGTCATGTTGACGTACAGGGCAATGAACAGGCAGACACTGCTGCGCGGTCAGCAGTACATGACCTACCAGTTTCATGTAGAGGTATTCCATTTACGGACTATTTTGCTGCAATATCTTCCCAACTTCACACCTGTTGGCAACAACGTTGGTCTACTATGCTCGGCAACAAACTTCAATCTATTAAACCGAGTATAGGTTACTGGCCGTCTTCTTATCACCAGTGTCGAGGTTGGGAGACTACTCTCTCCCGTCTTCGCATTGGCCATACTCGTCTTACTCATGGATATCTCATGGAGAGGCGCCCTGCTCCTCTCTGTGAGAATTGCCAAGTTCCATTATCAGTCAGCCACATTCTGTTGGACTGCCCACTTTATCAACGAGCATGCAGAATTTACCTCCGTCGTCATCTTCGCTCTGCTGCTCTCTTTACCTTCCCTTCTCGCTGATGGACCCACCTTTCATCCAGACTCTCTCATTGACTTTTTGACAACAACTGACTGACTTCACAAATTCTAATACCTTCAGCCCTTTCTACTTCAATCTCTTGCTACCCTCTACCCCCGTACTATCCCCTGCCCCGCTGTTTTCTGTAACCTTCTGATCATCCCTCCTCCCTTCTGCCATCCAATACCCTCGCTTCCTTCCCTACCCTGCAGCGCTGTATAGCCCTTGTGGCTTAGCGCTTCTTTTTGATTATAATAATAATAATGAGCTCATGGCGTAGATCTACGGTTTGGACCCTTGACGTAAAGCCGTAGATCTACTGCACGGACCCTGAAAGGGTTAAATTCAGAGTTCTCTTTTACTCTTAACATCTGGTGGATGAATTAATTTTGAGTTTAATGGACAGTGTCTGTTATGTCAGAATCGTCCATTACTGTTGCGATTATGGAAAAATTATCTCATTCGGATTTAACTGATAATTATCTCTGTTAAATTGAAGGTACACTGTACAGGTCTCTTGGTTTATGCGGATATGCTTTATGCAATGTCCTATTCCTATTGATAATTCCATACATATGATATATGGCCACTTCATGCTATCACCAGGGTTTGCAAATTTTGATTATTATTATGGATAAGTGCTTAGGGCCTGATTGAGCCTAATGGCAAGGGTCTTCAACACATCTACAGCATCAGATGAGGGGTCACTTTTATATACATGTATATATTTATTAAATGTGATAAACCTTACTGTATTTGCTCACTATTTTTTACCAGGATTACAGAACAGTTCGAAGCATGTTTGAGTGGCTCTTCCCTGAGCTGAAGAACTTCACCATTGATATGGATAAGGTGAGTGTGCTATTGCTTAGTAATTTTTTTTTTTTCAACAAGTCGGCCGTCTCCCACCGAGGCAGGGTGACCCAAAAAAGAAAGAAAATCCCCAAAAAGAAAATACTTTCATCATCATTCAACACTTTCACCACACTCACACATTATCACTGTTTTTCCAGAGGTGCTCAGAATACAACAGTTTAGAAGCATATACGTATAAAGATACGCAACATATCCCTCCAAACTGCCAATATCCCAAACCCCTCCTTTAAAGTGCAGGCATTGTGCTTCCCATTTCCAGGACTCAAGTCCGACTATATGAAAATAACCGGTTTCCCTGAATCCCTTCACTAAATATTACCCTGCTCACACTCCAACAGATCGTCAGGACCCAAGTACTTAGTAATATTTTCTTAAATCTCTTTCATTGGGTTGTCTTTAATAATTTTAAGAAAGAATTAATTTAAAAGTCTTGACTAAAAATCACTCTTTGTTTTGTGAATTTTAAAAGCATGGGCTTTTTTGTGATTTCCAGACATGACATACAAATAAACTACAAAACATAACATTTTTACTTCAGCACTAGCTATAGTACCTATATGGATTTTAGGCTTTTTTTTAATAAAAGTAATATCAGGTAATAATAATAATAATAATAATAATAATAATAATAATAATAATAATAATAATACAATGGTCCATTGAGTTACAATAATAATCCATTCTAGGTGTATTGTATCTCAAAACTGTTATAGCTCATACCCCAAATATGTGCATGGCTTTATGCAAATTGGTTCCAAGATGCCAGAATGCACTCAACCTGCCCTTGGATACTTTTTGTTGTTTAAACAAACTGGAGTTTTCCAAGTGATAAACAAGCATAGGCTGCAGCTTGAAATGCCCACAGGCATTGGCACCCAACAGCAGAGTAAACCTATCTTTCATAGGCATTTATCTTACAGTGGCATAATCAATCAGAATTTTGAATGTGGCCTCTAACCCATTCTTCGGAGGGGTACATCTATTAGGGCACTCCGAAATGGCTGTTAGGGACACAAGACAGTTGTGCACCAAGTGATATTGTGCTTCAAGTGATGTGCAAAGACACAGCAATGGCATTTAAATTCAACATTTATATCATTACTTTTTTTTAAAGTATACCAAACATATATGGCAAATGTATATTGGATATATGAAATTAATGATAAAAGTAACCCATTGTATAGTAGAGAATCTGCATCAGTTGAGAGAAACCTGTAATAAAAATAGTTCTTTAATCAGCTGACTGCCTCAGCGCATGAGAATATTTACACTCAGAGAATCCCCATTCCCTGAGCAGTAAAATACTGTAGATACAGTGTTAGGTAGGAGTAGGTGCATACATTTCAAACTTGGCTTCTACATAATCATGGATAAAGAAATGTCTTTCAGTGTTCCAAAAAGTTTTTAATGGTAAATTATGTTAGCGTGTAGAGTTATAGTGTGAAAATTGTATAATGGGGTTCATTATTGATTAGGTATGTTGACATCAAATAGGAATTTGGTATTTCATTTTTTAAATATAGTAAATCAGTCCAGTTAGAGATTGAAATAGTATAAGAAAGCATTTTAAATTTTTAATCTTAAGAGCTTAATGTAGGAAGAGAAAAAGGAGCTTGTTTTCTCAGTTTCCCTGCACACAGGCTAATGTACCTACCTCCGACTTGATTAATTTCTCACGTTGATCTCTTAAGATATGTAATGTCTCAACAGTAATATGCTTAAGGAGTTTATTTAGTTCATAGTAGTTGCTTTTACATACAATTATTTTGTTGCTCCTGCTGTTACAGTGCCCACCCAGTTAAGGATTTTAAAGAGAAACTCATAGGTTCACTTATAATTCTTGTTAGTGACTAGTTTTGTGTGTTGTGAAAGTCACAATAACGTGACTGTAACATGTCAGAGAACAGATGTCATTGTGGTGTGAGTATGAGTTTTGTCTATAAAAAACTTTGACTTGTGGTCGCAGTGAAGTCAGTGCTAATCTTTGTTGTATAGAAATATGTAGACGTAGTTGAATGAATCTTAGTAGGCCTATGTAGATAGTGGTGAGAGCACGGGTCCACTAGTTTTAAAACTGGTTTGCTATGAGTTTGAATCCTTCCCATTACTTTGGGCTGTACTTTTATTTTTAATTAATATTTTACAAGTCATATCTCAGCATCATAAACTTATTTTGCATGCATTTACGTATATGATCTTTATATTGCCATTGCTCTTGTGCAAAGCATTTTCAATCACACCCACCTTTCAAACCTTTCTTCCAAACAGGGTGAATGGGGAGAGAAGTGTGATGATCTCACATTTGCACGACTGTGGGAGAGCATCGACTTTTTCTGCTTTGCACACTTTGCTGGATGGACTATGAAGACCCTGCTTGTACGACATTATGGCATCTTGTGGACTATCTCAGTCATGTGGGAGATTACAGAGGTAAGGCTGCATTTTTTTTGGTCTAGTGTATTGTTGAAAGACATAATAATGTAGCCCAAAGGAATAAGAGATAGATAATATACATGTATGTACATAGAGTACATTTAAAGATATTTATCCTCTTAACAGTTAACAGTCAATCGTTAATGTTTAGTAGGCTTACTTGCTGAATAGTATCTTTTTTCTTTTTCCTGAGCTAGTATCTCCCATTATGTCTAATACTGTACACACCTTTAGGTTAAGAATTAGTGTTAAAAGTTGCAAATGAAACTGCTTAAAACATTAAAATTCTGTATTAGTATATCTGCCAAATGAGTGTAAAATGAAAGCCTGTACTTGTTTTACATATTGGTAGGATTGCTGGTGTCTTTTTTTCTGTCTCATAAACATACAAAATTTCAGGTACATTTTGCTACTTCTACTGACACTTAGGTCACACTACGCATGCATGTACAAGCGTATATATACACACTCTGGGTTTTCTTTTATTTTCTTGCTAGTTCTCATTCTTGATTTCTTCTTATCTCTTATCTTCTTGATTTCTTCTTATCCTCCGTAAGCTATGCATGTCGTAAGAGCCGACTAAAATGCCAGGGGTAAGGGGGCTAGTAACCCCTTCTCCTGTATATGTTATTAAAGTTAAAAGGAGAAACTTTTTTTTTTTTTTTTTTTTTTTGGGCGACCCTGTTGAAAGAAGAAAGATTAGTGTGTATTTCTCATTAAATGTTGGGCCTGAAACAAGATCTAAGAACAATGTATGGAAAGTGATCAGTGAGTCATCCTGAATTTTTGTGGGAGAGGTGTGGGATTAAAATATGCAGAATCTAATACAAAATGGGAGTTGTCACAGTTGCATTTTGCTGATGACATGTGCTTTTGGGAGATTCTGAAAGGAAGTTGCAAAGGTTGGTGGATGAATTTGGGGAGTATGTAAAAGTGAGTATATGGAGAGTAAAAGAAAGGTGAAGAGAGTGGTGAGAGAGTGCAAAAGGAGAGCAGATGATAGAGTGGGAGAGGCACTGTCAAGAAATTTTAATGAAAGTAAGAAAAAATTTTGGAGTTAAACAAGTTAAGAAAGCCTAGGGAACGAATGGATTTGTCAGTTAAAAACAGAGTAGGGGAGTTATTAGATGGGGAGATGGAGATATTGGGTAATGGCGAGAATATTTTGAGGAACTTTTAAATGTCGACGAGGAAAGGGAGGCGGTAATTTCGTACACTGGCCAGGGAGGTATACCATCTTTTAGGAGTGAAGAAGAACAGGATGTGAGTTTGGGGGAGGTGCGTGAGGCATTACATCGAATGAAAGGGGGTAAAGCAGCTGGAACTGACAGGATCATGACAGAAATGTTAAAAGCAGGGGGGGATATAGTGTTGGAGTGGTTGGTATTTTTATTTAATAATTGTATGAAAGAGGGCAAGGTACCTAGGGATTGGCAGAGAGCAGGTATAGTCCCTTTATATAAAGGGAAGGGGGACAAAAGAGACTGTAAAAATTATAGAGGAATAAGTTTACCTTGTATACCAGGAAAAGTGTACGGCAGGGTTATTATTGAAAGAATTAGAGGTAAGACAGAATGTAGGAATGCGGATGAGCAAGGAGGTTTTAGAGTGGGTAGGGGATGTGTAGATCAAGTGTTTACATTGAAGCATATATGTGAACAGTATTTAGATAAAGGTAGGGAAGTTTTTATTGCATTTATGGATTTAGAAAAGGCATATGATAGTGTATAGGGGAGCAATGTGGAAGATGTTGCAAGTACAGTGGACCCCCGAGTTTCGTGATTAATCCGTTCCAGAGAGCTCGCCGAAGGTCGAAATTCACGAAACTCGAAACCATTTTCCCATAAGAAATAATGGAAATAAAATTAATCCGTTCCAGACACCCAAAAATATTAAAATAAAATATTTTTTTTCAAATTAAATAAAGATTTACATAATGAAAACAATCAGAAATCAAGTGCATGCATTTAAAAAAATAATAATAACATTACACTTACCTTTACTGAAGACTTCTGCGTGGATGGAAGACGGGAGGAGGGGATAAGAGGAAGGTGTATACTATTTTTTGGAAGGAGAATCTCCTTCCATTAGGACTTCAGGTATGAAGTCCATATCTGGGGTTACTTCCCTTGTTCTTTTAATGCCACTGGGACCAGCTTGAGAGTCACTGAACCCCTGTCGCACAAAATATCTGTCCAGAGAGGCCTGTTTCTGGCGTTTCTTTAAGATTTCCCTGAAGTGGGACTCAACACTGTCATTGTACATGTTGCCAATACGGCCTGCAACAGCTTTGTTAGGGTGAAGCTCATCCATAAATGTTTGCACTTCAGTCCACTTTCCACAAATGTCCTTAATCTTTGAAGAACCCACCTTCCTCCATCTCTCTTCCTCCTCCTCTGCAGCAGTTTCCTGAGCTGTAATCTGTTGCTGTTGCAGATGAAGCTCTTGCAGCTCTTCAGTGGTTAGCTCTTCCCTGTGGTCCTCCACCAACTCTTTCACATCCTCACCACTCACCTCCAACCCCAAGGACATCCCCAATGCCACAATAGTTTCCACAACTGGCATAGGTTCCTTAGGGTCAGCCACAAACCCTTCAAAATCCCTCTCTTGTACACAATCTGGCCCCAAATTTCTCCAAGCAGAGTTCAAAGTCCTGGAAGTCACTCCCTCCCAAGACTTACCTATAAGGTTTATGCAGTGGAGGATATTAAAGTGATCTTTCCAGAACTCTCTTAGGGTCAATTCAGTGTCTGAGGTCACTTCAAAGCACTTCTGAAACACTGCTTTGGTGTAGAGTTTTTTGAAGTTTGAAATGACCTGCTGGTCCATGGGCTGGAGGAGAGGAGTGGTATTAGGAGGCAAGAGCTTCACCATGATGAAACTAAACTCCTCCACTATTTGCTCTTCCAAGTCTGGAGGATGAGCAGGAGCATTGTCCATTACCAGGAGGCACTTGAGTGGCAATTTATTTTCCAGGAGGTATTTCTTCACACTGGGGCCAAACACTTCATTAAACCAGTCTAGGAAAATTCCCCTTGTGACCCATGCCTTACTGTTAGCCTTCCACGTCACACACAAATTACTCTTGGCGACACTGTATTTCTTGAACACTCTGGGATTTTCAGAGTGATACACCAGTAAAGGCTTCACTTTAAAATCCCCACTAGCATTACTACAAAACATGAGAGTTAGCCTGTCTTTCATAAGCTTGTGTCCTGGGAGTGCTGTTTCCTCCTGCGTGATGTAGGTCCTCTGGCATTTTCTTCACAATTAAACACTTGCTGGGGTTTGAATTCTCCAGTGTCTACGCACTCCTTAAACTCATGTACAAACTTCTCAGCTGCTTTTTTGTCAGAACTGGCAGCCTCACCATGCCTTATCACACTGTGAATGCCACTACGCTTCTTAAATCTCTCAGACCAACCTTTGCTGGCCTTAAAATCACAAGCATCACCACTTGTTGCAGGCATGTTCTTCACGAGATTGTCATGCAACTGCCTTGCCTTTTCACATATTATCGACTGCATAACACTATCTCCTGCTAACTGTTTTTCGGTAATCCACACCAACAATAACCTCTCCACTTCTTCGAGGATTTGTGATCTCCTTTTTGTCAGCATATCCACCCCTTTTGCAACAACAGCACACTTTATTTCCTTTCCTTTCTCCACGATCGAAGTGATGGTTGAATGGGGCTTGCCATACATCCTGGCAAGCTCTGTAACAACCACTCCACTCTCATATTTTTCAATGATTTCCTTCTTGATTTCGATCATGTTCCTCACTTTCTTTACCAAAGGGCTTGCACTAGCTTTCCTTGGGCTCATGGTGACTTATTTAGCAGTTGTAATCACAAAAAACAATGGATTATTACGTATGAACCCACGGGGTGATGGTCACGTGTTGGTAAACAATGGCACACTGAGCGTGAATGGCGTGGGAGATTGGCTTTGTGTGCGCGGTGATGGGCGGACGGGTACCGGACGGTCGCGGAAACACGAGTTTTTTCACGAAACTCGAGGCCAAACTTTTCCAAAAAAAAAAAAAACTCGCCAAAGGTCGAATTTCATGAAAATCGAGGCTGCTGAAACTCGAGGGTCCACTGTATGTGGAATAGGTGGTAAGTTACTAAATGCTGTGAAGAGTTTTTATGAGGATAGTGAGGCTCAGGTTAGGGTGTGTAGAAGAGAGGGAGACTACTTCCCAGTAAATGTAGGTCTTAGACAGGGATGTGTAATGTCCCCATGGTTGTTTAATATATTTATAGATGGGGTTGTAAAAGAAGTAAATGTAGGGGAAATGTTTGATTTTTGCCGATATTCAAAAGTAAACAAATGATGTCATTGTCCAATAAATGTCCAACTAGCCATTCTAATATGCAGTCATGAATGGGTTGATGTTATTTACACAATTATTACAGTATTGCAGTAGTCTGCATAATAGTAAATCTTCTATTTTTTGTTTGAATAAAAATTCAAAATAGAAAGCAAGAGTAATATCAGAGGGGCCTGGAGACATGACTGATGAACAAAGAAAATGTTATTTTAGAGCCAGGAATGTCTGCATTGTTCATTCTGGACCTTATTTTGAAATTGTCATATTTTTTAATTTTCGTGAAATTGGCCAAATTGCAAATTTCTGACTAAGTTATTGGGTAGTTGAAATTGGTAAATGGGCAGTTTCTTGTACTCAATCGATAGAAAAAACGGAGTTCTAAAGAAATAGCTATGAGTTTGGTTGACTGGAACAATGGAATTAGCCGAAAATAGGGCTCAAAGTGGGCGAAATCGCCGATTTGTAAATATCGCTGAGGTCGCTAACTTCACGAGAGCATAATTCCATCAGTTTTCCATCAAATTTCGTTTTTTTTGGTGTCATTACAATCGTGAAAAGATTGTCTATCATTTCATAAGAAAAAATAATTTTTTTTTTTTTGAAATTTTGCGACACCAGGAAACACCTCAGGATTGGGGGTTGCGGCAGTCAAGGGGTTAAGATGTGTAACAGATATTGAACAACTTTATTTGGTAGACAGTTGTGATACAGTATTTTCTCACTCATGGTTATTTTTCCACAGACTGCATTTTCACATTTGTTGCCAAACTTTATTGAATGTTGGTGGGATGCAGTCATTCTGGATGTTCTTCTGTGCAATGGTTTCGGGATATGGTGTGGAATGCAAATTTGCCACTTGATGGAGATGCGGTACTACAATTGGGAAAGCATCAAGTAAGAATATTTTTCATGCTGTTATATGATCTTCATGCTTGCAGGAGATATGGTACACTATTTTGGATTGTATTGCAAAGGCATCTCGCAAGGTTATGGATATATATTAGTCTTGTATACATGTACTGTATATACTGTATACATACTTCTAGCCAAGTGAGTGCAATGTATATACTACTTTCAAAAGTAACATCACTCAGATCTTCTGCAATATAATACTTTAGGTATTCCAGAGATCTTTGGGGTTGGATGTGAGAAATGTTGGACTCCACTGTTCTTCCTTAGTAGGACCTGACTTTGGAAACATTAAAATTACTGAACAGAAACTTGTGAACTGGCAAATGAGAAACTTGAATGGGAGCACAAAGGAGATGGAAGTAACCATCAGTTATATATTCAGTAAAATAAAAAAAGATTACACTAATAAAGCTTATGTGATGAATGTGTCACTGATGCAATAATCATTAATTTTGCTTCAGTTGTACTTATTTACCAAATATTAGTTTAGTCCCCCCCATAATTATAACAATAATAATTACCAAATATTATTTAAGTATGTAAAATATACTGTAAACCCTCAATATAACATACTGATAGGGGAGTGTCTGAGTTTCTGTTTAATCAAAATAGTGTCAATAAATAGGAAAAGAACACTTAGGTACTCTACTGTATATCTAATATAGAACTGTGCACGCAGTTTGCCATTATATTGAAATTAACATTGAAAATAAAGGAGTTTAAAATACAATTTACAGAGTAAATTTTTCCCATAAATGTATATTAAAAGTTTATTTTATTGAGGTCTGTTATGTCTAGGGTTTACTCTGTATTTATTTCTGTATAAATTCAGTATTGCCATAAAAAGTAATGCCTTTTCCTTCATGAATTTGTCTATTTCATCATATATTCTAAAATTTTAGGGGCTGTTTGGGTTTTTGTAAATGTTAGTAAATTGTTAAATAACACTTGGTTTATTTTCTAGGGACATTCAGACCACAACTGGCAAGCTGAAGCGTGCTGTGCTACAGTTTACTCCGGAGTCGTGGACAGCCATGAGATGGTTAGATCCTGCTTGCACCTATATGCGTTTTTTGGCAGTATCACAGCTTGTGGTTTTCTGGCAACTCGCAGAGCTTAATACCTTCTTTCTAAAGCACATCTTTCAAATGCCTCCAAGCCATCCACTTGTATTCATGAGGATATTCCTGCTTGGAGCCACATCTGCTCCAACAATAAGGTATCTTAGTACTATAGATATTAGATGAAATGAGCTTTACATAGCTCAGATACCTACATTTGTGTGTGTGTGTGTGTGTGTGTGTGTGTGTGTGTGTGTGTGTGTGTGTGTGTGTGTGTGTGTGTGTGTGTGTGTGTGTGTGTGTACGTGTGTGTACGTGTGTGTACGTGTACTCACCTAATTGTGGTTGCAGGGGTCGAGACTCAGCTCCTGGCCCTGCCTCTTCACTGATCGCTACTAGGTCCTCTCCTTCTCTGCTTCCTGAGCTTTGTCATACCTCTTCTTAAAACTATGTATGGTTTCTACCTCCACTACTTCACTTGCTAGGCTATTCCACTTCCTGACGACCCTATGACTGAAGAAATACTTCCTAACGTCCCTGTGACTCGTCTGAGTCTTCAGCTTCAAGTTGTGACCCCTTGTTTCTGTGTCCCCTCTCTGGAACATCCTGTCTCTGTCCACCTTGTCTATTCCCCACAGTATCTTGTATGTCATTATCATGTCTCCCCTGACCCTTCTGTCCTCCAGTGTTGTCAGTCCGATTTCCCTCAACCTTTCCTCGTACGACATTCCCCTGAGCTCTGGGACTAGCCTTGTTGCAAACCTTTGTACTTTCTCTAACTTCTTGACGTGCTTGACCAAATGTGGGTTCCAGACTGGTGCTGCATACTCCATTATGGGCCTAACATACACTGTGTAAAGTGTCTTGAACGATTCCTCATTAAGGTATCAGAACGCTATTCTCAGGTTTGCCAGGCGCCCGTATGCTGCAGCAGTTATTTGGTTGATGTGTGCCTCCGGTGACATGCTTGGTGTTATGGTCACCCCAAGGTCTTTCTCCCTGAGTGAGGTCTGTAGTCTTTGTCCACCTTATCCTATACTCTGTCTGCAGTCTTCTTTGCCCCTCCCAAATCTTCATGACTTTGCATTTGGCAGGGTTGAATTCGAGAAGCCAGTTTCTGGACCACATGTCCAGCCTGTCCAGGTCTCTTTGCAGTCCTGCCTCTGCCTCATCCTCATCTGATTTACTTCTTCTCATCAGCTTCACATCATCTGCGAATAGGGACACTTCAGAGTCTATTCCTTCCATCATGTCGTTCGCATATATCAAAAATAGCACTGGTCGTAGAACTGACCCCTCCAAACCATACCCCGGCTGGGATTGAACCCGAGGTCAGAGAGTCTCAAAACAACAGCCCGTCGCGTTAACCACTAGACCAGCTAGCCACGATAAGATTCGTCCAACCAGGTTTGCAATCGTGTCATTACGATTTCGTGAGTCAACTGACCCCTGTGGGACCCCACTCGTCACAGGCGCCCACTGTGATACCTCTTCACGTACCATAACTCGTTGTTGCCTCCCTGTCAGGTATTCCCTGATCCATTGCAGTGCCCTCCCTGTTATATGCATCTGTGTGTGTGTGTGTGTGTGTTTGTTTTCTCGTTCTTTTCTTTCAACAAACCGGCCGTATCCCACTGAGGCAGGGTGGCCCAAAAAGAAAAACAAAAGTTTCTTCTTTTACATTTAGTAATATATACAAGAGAAGGGGTTACTAGCCCCTTGCTCCCGGCATTTTGGTCGCCTCTTACAACACGCATGGCTTACAGAGGAAGAATTCTGTTCCACTTCCCCATGGAGATAAGAGGAAATAAACAAGAACAAGAACTAGAAAGAAAATAGAAGAAAACCCAGAGGGGTGTGTATATATATGCTTGTATATGTATGTGTAGTATGACCTAAGTGTAAGTAGAAGTAGCAAGACATACCTGAAATCTTGCATGTGTATGAGACAGACAGAAGACACCAGCAATCCTACCATCATGTAAAACAATTACAGGCTTTCATTTTACACTCACTTGGCAGGACGGTAGTACCTCCCTGGGTGGTTGCAGTCTACCAGCCTACTACCTAGGATATATACATGTATATATATCTTTTCTTTCAACAAACCGGCCGTATCCCACCGAGGCAGTGTGGCCCAAAAGGAAAAACGAAAGTTTCTCCTTTTACATTTAGTAATATATAGAGGAGAAAGGGTTACTAGCCCCTTGCTCCTGGCATTTTAGTCGCCTCTTACGACACGCATGGCTTACGGAGGAAGAGTTCTGTTCCACTTCCCCATGGAGAATATATATAACTTCTTTCTTTCAACACACCGGCCGTATCCCACCAAGGCGGGGTGGCCCAAAAGAAAAAACGAAAGTTTCTCCTTTTACATTTAGTAATATATACAGGAGAAGAGGTTACTAGCCCCTTGCTCCCGGCATTTTAGTCGCCTCTTACAACACGCATGGCTTACGGAGGAAGAATTCTATTCCACTTCCCCATGGAGAATATATATGTGTGTGTGTGTGTCATGCCGTATAGGCAGAATTTGCGATCTTGGCTTAAATAGCAATGCTCATCTTGCCATATACAACAAGTGAAAATTTGTGTATGCAATAGTTTCGCCAAAATCATTCTGAACCTAATGAAATAAAAAATATATTTCACTGTGTTTGTTTAGTATTAAATTATTGTAAACAAATCTAAAATATATTTAGTTGGGTTAGGCTAAAATAAATTGCGCTTGTTATAATAAGGTTAAGTAAGTTTTCTAAGATTATTTTGGTGCAAAATTATAATTTTTTACATTAACATTAATGAAAAAGATATATCTTTAAATGTATAAGAGAAAATTTTAGAAAGGACTTAATTTTAAATGAGTTCTTGCTAATTGACCAGTTTTATATATTCGGCTCAACATGTATATTTTTTTTTTTTTAACAAGTCGGCCGTCTCCCACCGAGGCAGGGTGACCCAAAAAAGAAAGAAAATCCCAAAAAAGAAAATACTTTCATCATCATTCAACGCTTTCACCTCACTCACACATAATCACTGTTTTTGCAGCGGTGCTCAGAATACAGCAGTTTAGAAGCATATATGTATAAAGATGCGCAACATATCCCTCCAAACTGCCAATATCCCAAACCCCTCTTTTAAAGTGCAGGCATTGTACTTCCCATTTTCAGGACTCAAGTCTGGCTATATAAAAATAACCGGTTTCCCTGAATCCCTTCAGGAAACAGCTCATCAGGTCCCAAATACCATTTGTGTCCATGCACTTCTATCTAACATGCTCACGCACGCTTGCTGAAAGTCCAAGCCCCTTGCTCACAATACCTATTTTACCCCCTCCCTCCAACCTTTTCGAGGACAACCCCTACCCCTCCGTCCTTCTCCTACAGATTTATACGCCCTCCAAGTCATTCTGTTTTGATCCATTCTCACTAAATGACCAAACCACCTCAACAACCCCTTTTCAGCCCTCTGACTAATACTTTTAGTAACTCTACACCTCCTCCTAGTTTCTTCACTCTGAATTTTCTGCATAATATTTACACCACATATTGCCCTTTGAAAGGACATCTCCACTGCCTCCAACCGCCTCCTCGCTGCAGCATTTACAACCAAAGCGTCACATGTCTATAAGAGTGTTGGTACCACTATACTTTCATACATTCCCTTCTTTGCCTCCTTAGATAATGTTGTTTTTTCTCCACAGATACCTCAATGCACCACTCGCCTTTTTTTCTTCATCAATTCTATGGTTAACCTCATCCTTCATAAACCCATCCAGTGACAAGGCAACTCCCAAATATCTGAAAACATTCACTTCTTCCATACTTCCTCTCTCCGATGTGATATCCAATTTTTTATCTAAATTGTTTGATACTCTCAACACCTTACTCTTATCTGTGTTCACTTTCAACTTTCTACCTTTACACACCCTCCCAGACTCGTCCACTATAGTATTTTGACATCTTTACAGTAATTCTTTCAATATTTGACCAATTTATTCAACTTTTTTAGACATTAATTTTTAATTAATGTGGTAAATGTTATTGCAGATAGAGTAATGGTAAAATGTAAATTTCCATTATCCAAATCATTTCACTTTACCTGGTTTCAGTAAAATTTCTTTCATGTTGCAGGCAGTACTACAGCTATGTAACTGACCCGAGGTGTAAGCGCGTAGGAACTCAGTGCTGGGTATATGCATTGTGTATGTGTATTGAATCTTTGATCTGCATCAAGTTTGGGGCAGATATTTTTCAGCACACTCAGATCCGCAATATCATTGCATGGGTGTTGGTTCAGGCTGCAGGATCAGTAATGTGTGTGTACTTATGTGTCACACACCATAGATGGCAACGAAAGCGGCAAATAAAAGTGGTAAGTAAAAATTTGTAATATTCTTGAGAGGGATAGGTTGAGAAAGAGGGTGAATAAATCTGGGATGAAAGGTAGAAGGGGGTAGGGGACATCCCAGGAATGGTTTGAGGGAAGGGGTAAAAGAAGTTTTGAGCATCCAGCTAGCTTGTGTGAGCGTGTTAAATAGGGGTGAATGAAGTCACATGGTTTTTAATGGACATGCTGTTGGAGTTTGAGTAAGGTAACTTTTATGAAGAGATTCAGGGAAACCAGTTAGCCAGACTTGAGTCCTGGAGGTAAGAAGGCAGTGTCTGCATTCTGAAGGAGGGGTGAGGATGTTGATGTCAAAGGGATGTTAGCACACTTCTGGAAAGACGGCGATTGAATGAATGGTGGCGAATGTGTTTTCTTTTAGTCTCCTTGCCTCTGTGGGAGATGGTCATTGAGTTAAAAAAAAAGTTCTTGACCAGTCTCTGTCAAAACTAAATCTTTAGTTCTTGATAAAGCTCTACCTAACAAATGTTAGCTCTATATACTTTCATAGAATGAACATACACAAGGTATGAATACATTTGTTTAAGAAATACCTGAGAAAAAGTATAACTTGTTTGAATATTTGCAATGATCATAACTGCAGATCAACATTTGTAAGTAATTGCTTCCAAATGGGCCAATAGCATAACACTGTAACACTGCAAGTTAAGGAAGGACCTACTGCAAATGTTACTTTTTACATTACTGTACTCGTTTTATTTCCTGTTTTATTGTCTATTTGTACCACTGACTTATGTCTCAGGCTGTTGTATGTGGATTTTTGTACAGTATTTGCTTAATGAGTGTACAGTAGTTATAAAATTGTTTTGTTTCTGCTCCAAGATATTTTGTTTGGGTTGTAATGTGTTAATACTGTGGATATTATACTGTAATTGGAATACCTGGTTAAATGAAGCAGTTGACTATAGTTGATGAAGAGTTCACAATTCATTAATAATAATAATGTCTTATAGGAGGATTCTCTGGACGAGGACACAGAGACTGACTCAAAAGTGTCTACATACATTCAGTCTCTTCCCCGCAAGACCGTGACTCTGAGTACTCCTGAGGACGAGGACAGTGATGATGAAGCTGAGGGTCCAACAAAAGTACACCGTAGGAGAAAGAATCCCCAACTGAGGCGAAGTAACCGATTAGATCACTAACTGTGCCAAGTTAAAAAAGTGAACCATACATATATATAAATTTTGTACCTTCTCCAGTAATTGGCATTTACATTTTTCTTAATGTTACCTTGAAGAATATCCCTTTAAAATGTTCACTAGCTATTTCTTTGATTATAGATGCTGTTGATGGGTTTCTATATGCACAATTTCTATCTCATGCATGCCTTTTATCTCCATGTATATATCTGAACTAATAATATAATGGGTTCTAACTGTTTGTTGCCTAAATGGTATACAAGCATAAGTGAGATATATTTCTGAAAGTACAATCAAATAGCCAATTTTTACTGTAAGTTGTGTGACCATAATTTTTTTTATACATTTATGTAGTTAAAAATATAAAAATTGTATTATAGTTCAATTTTCTAACATAAAAGCTAATCACTTTAGTCTCATTGATCTAAGAAAGACAATGTTCACCACCAGCTTCATGATGAAATCTTCCAAGGATATCAGTTGATGCTGTCCCATTTTAGGGACTTGCAGACAGAGGATCTTCTTTCCCCAAAGCATCTTCATTTAGTTTTGTACATTAAATAACATATTTGGATTAATGCAAGACATAGCATTGTCATTGTCAAAGTGATCAAATAGTTTTGTAATAATTTGGATGTGGCCTTGAGTGATGTGCCATTTAGTGGTGTAAGTGAATATATTTTACAGGAAATGTACTTTCCACGAAGGGCACAAGAGAGGACATCTTGAGACATTGATCTTTTTTTTTTTTTTTTTTAGATTTCTAGACATATTAATGTAAAGTGAGTATACTATCCAATAGAGTATACATATGTGTAGATATAGATTATTAGAAAAGTCTTCATAATGTATGTTCTCAATACAGTACCGCTGTACAATGTGTATGCTGCGTTACACAGTATAAGACTCTCCAGACACTATGGGCTTTCAGCTGTCTACTTTCAAGTATAGGACCACACATACCAAGTTCCTGCTGTTATCCTCACATTCACTGGTAAGTCTTCATCATTAAGTTACTTCAGTTTTCACACTCAAGAATGGTGACACCAGCACCAAGTAAGAGAGTTCTCATCACTCTCAAATTAAGAACATCACCACCAGTTCCTGAACTATGTTCATTATTGTTGATTCAGATTTTCTGTCAAACTGTAACAGTTGGTGTTGATATGCTTAATTTTCAGAAGAAAAAATAAAAAAATTAAATAATTTTGTCCCAAAAAAGAGGACAGGATACTTTTGGGTAGAAACAAGAATTTGTTACAAAGAAGGAAAATCCAGAGAGAAAATGAGAAAGTAAATTTTGTTTTGTAATACTGTGAAAGTAGAATATATGCACTTGTTGCACTCCATTAAGCTGAAAATGAATTATATTAAAGGGGACAAAGCGCACTGTAAATCATGTCTCAGAGCCTTACTGGTGTGTTGTAAACACAGGTACTGCCTTGTGAGTGGCTCCTCAGAATTTGGAAAATCATCTTGTATATAATTTTATCATTACTATAGTATAACAGGGTTTTCAGTACCTTCTGAATTGATCAGGTCCTGTTATTATTTTTATTTTTCTGATTACTGCTATGATAATTAACTTTTCATACTTTTCTCAAGTAGAATGATAAGGATTGTATTATTATTTTTTGTTGTAACATTACATTTAGATATTGTAGAATGTATGATGTTTTGCTTATGGCAAAAATGCATCTACTTAATAAACCATACAGATAAGATATTTGTAATCCTTTTTGTTATGCATTAATTTTTCTCTTTATTAAATAACTTTTCTTACATGTAGGTTCTTTTAATTTGATGTACTAATAAACAGGAATATAAATGTAAATAGCTAATATTATTTTTAAGTAGAGTATTGCAATTTTTTTCATCACTTTTTAATGTCTGCTGTTGTTACACAGTATAGTGCTTTAGATGAAGATTTTACTTCTGATGGAATGTACTAGATCCCTTTTAAATTCACTGTGCACTGTACAGTAATCCTTCATAAAATGACTTGAATTTGCTTAGTGAATCATTATACACTTGTGAACAATTTCACTTAGTGATGTGCTGTAGCCCAACCTGTAATTACTTACTTTAAACAAGTGAAAACAAGACCTCAATATTTCTGTACAAATTTTTATCCAAAAAATGTATGAACCTATTGCACACACCTGGAGAGTATTCTGGGAGTTAATGCCCCCTGTGACCAGGTCCATGACCAGGCCTTGCAGTGGATCAGGGCCTGATCAACCAGGCTGTTACTGCTGGCTGCACACAAACTGACATACGACCCACATCCTGGCTGGTCAGGTACTGACTTAGGTATCTGTCCAGCTCCCTCTTGAAGACAGTCAAAAGTAATGGAAAAAACAATAAAAGTACAGTGGAACCTCGAACGCCCCACCATGCGAATTTTTCAGGATACGAACCGTTGTTTGGTCAATTTTTTGCTTCTGGATATGAACGAAATTTCAGGATGCAAACTTCCCCCTCAAGGGAGGTTCCTTAACCTTTTGGGGGTTTCGGCCGTACTAGTACGGCTTACGACCCAGGGTTTTTGTCGTACTAGTACGCCTAAATTCTAGTGCCCTCAAATCTAGTGGGAGGAAGCTGGTAGGCACAGTATAAAAAAAATCCTGCAGCACACAGTGCATAATGAGAAAAAAAAACTTGGAACCTTTTTTTGGAATAAAACAGCGACTTTGCACTGTATTTTCGTATGGTATTTATTGTTGTATTCTAGTTTTCTTGGTCTCATTTTATAGAATAGAAGACATATTACAGAAATTGAGATGATTTTGACTGGTTTTACAATGAAAAGTACCTTGAAATTGAGCTCAAAGTAGCAGAAATGTTCAATTTTTACCAAAGTTCAAAAGTAAACAAATCATGCCAAGCGTCAAATACACGTCAACTGGCGAGTCTAATAGTCTTTCGCAAGTGCGCCAATATTATTTATACCATTTTTTACACTAATGCTGTAGTCTGCATAACAGTAAATCTTCTATTTTTTGTGAGAATAAAAATTCAAATTGGAAAGCAAAAGAATGTAAGAGGGGCCTTGAGACGTGACTAATGAACAGAGGAAATGTCATTTTAGTGCCAAGAATGTCTTTCTTGTTTATTCTGAACCCTATTCGGAAATTGGCATCTTTTGAAATTTGTGCGAAATTGGCAAAATTGCCAAATTCTGACCACTGTACTGGATAGTTGAAATTGGTAATGGGTGGTTTCTTGCACTCATTCGATAGAAAAAATGGAGTTCTAGCGAAATATTCATGTTTTTTGTCGACTAGTAGTGTGGAATTGGCCAAAAATGGGGCTCAAAGTGGGCAAAATCGCCGATGCGTAAACATGGTTGAGACCGCTAACTTTGCAAGAGCATAATTCCGTAGTTTTCCATCAAATTTCATACTTTTGGTGTCATTATGATCGGGAAAAGATTCTCTATCTTTTCATAAGAAAAAATATTTTTTTTTTTTAAATTTGGCCAACCCTGAGAACGAGTCTCGGAGAGGGCCTGTCGACCCTCAAAGGGTTAAATAAATAAGTAAATAAATAAAATATGCTTCTAAGCTGTTGTATTCTGAGCACCTCTGCAAAAACAGTGATTATGTGTGAGTGAGGTGAAAGTGTTGAATGATGATGAAAGTATTTTCTTTTTGGGGATTTTCTTTCTTTTTGGGTCACCCTGCTTCGGTGGGAGATGGCCGACTTGTTAAAAAAAAAAAAAAATTTCTTTGCTAAGGTTACAATCTGTGTTTACATATAATATGATTGAAGCAAAGAAAGCCACTATCATGCCAAGGCATTTCTGGCAGACTTAACCTAATACTAATAGACTTCTTAAGTCTAGACAGGTGAAAAGTGTACTAGTAGCGATTACCAGTGTTTTGCTGATGGTGGCGGCAACTACTGGCAGCCTTTTGAAGTTTCTTCTTACTGTTGTTGTTATTATTATAATTATTATTATTCTTTCTTTCAATACACCGGCAGTATCCCACCGAGGCGGGGTGGCCCAAAAGGAAAAACGAAAGTTTCTCTTTTTAAATTTAGTAATTTATACAGGAGAAGGGGTTACTAGCCCCTTGCTCCCGGCATTTTAGTCGCCTCTTACGACATGCATTAATTATAATACGTGTGTATTAATAATAATAATAATGATAATATTTATAATACGTATGCACTACTAATACTCCTACTACTACTAATAATAATAATACAATATATGTAACAGTAATAATAATACATGTAATATGTAATTTTTAGACATTTTTTGTATTTTTTTTCATATTTTTGTGCCAAATGCTTCAAAATAGAAATTGGTATCCCTCTGGGTAGCTGTAGGTACAGCTGCTATGACTAAGTGTCAAAAGGAAGAGGTGTGCCGCTCAGAGTGACCGCAGCAGACCTTGGGATGCGTAATTTTGTCTTATATTGTATAATGTTCTTACACAATGCCTCGCTCAGAGACAGTATTTGAGTACAATCAGCAAGAAGCTCAGGAAGCGATTAGAAGCTATGAAAAAAGCTAGAGAAATGAAGAAGGCAGCAGCATAGAGTGGAGCAGCTGGCTACCACTACCACCACCACCACCACTGTGGCCACAGATATCATGTCTTCACCTATATATACATCTGTCTTGACCACACCTGTGGTTACATGTGTGACAACCTCACCACTAATTGTAGATAAACACAAGCTAGGTGTGGGGCTATGGACTGGGACCTCTTCAAGGGGGGCTCCTTGGCGTGGTGAAGAGGCTCTTGGTCTGAGGAATTAGACCTGTCGGTCTACTTCCTCAGACCGAACCTAATTACCCCCCAATCCCCCGTTCCCTATCCCATCCTCCCCTTTTTCCTTTCCTCCTCCTCCTCCCCACCCCTCCCTTTTGCCCTTCCTTTTTTTTTTTTTTTTTTTTTTTTTTTCCCACAGGCACGCTAGTTCCTAGGTAGGGGAAAGGGTACCGGGGTCCATCCCATTCCGTTGAGGTTCTTGGTGGTGGCGTAGTTTGCCGTGGAATCTGGATTGCCTGGGGATGTCCTGATCCCTCTCCGGTATCCCGGAGGATGGCTTTGGGTGTCTCTCGGGCGACGGGTGTATCTCTGGAAGCCACCTTTCGGATTCCGGGGGTGGTGGCCGAAGGAGGTATGCTTTGTGGCGGATTTCTGGCCGCCCTCTCTTTTGTCCACCGAGATAGCTCGGCAGATGTGAGGTTGCTATCCCGGATTGCCGGTTTACTGGCATGATGGGTAGGGTATGGCACGGGTTCCATGCTGCATCTGTGCTACTTGCGGTGCTGAGGTCCTCTTGGGCGCGGAGGGAGATTTCTGGCCCTTTCATTCCTCCTAGGAACTATCCCTCCCCGGTCCCCCCTTTTTTTATTCTTTTTTTTTTTATCTTTATTTTCTTTCTTTTTTTTTCTTAAAAACAAAAAGAAAGAAGTAACCTAACCATGGCAGCCCTAGTCCATGAACCTGCTACCCCCGGGCCCCTTCTTGATACCGCACCTCGTTCTGACCCCGCCTTGTCTTTGGGCCACTCTTCGGACACTCCTCATGCCTCTGTACCTCTTGCCGGTGCTGTTTCCTCACCCGCTTCAGGTACTGAGGCCTCGACTGACTCCTTCGATTTATCTGACCTTCGCTCTCCTCTGACTATGCTTCCGGCCTCTCCCTCTACGGTGCGGCATTTTTCGAATCGCTGGCCCGTTCCACGTCGGACCAACTCTGGTCCCACGCCTAAATGACAACGACAATTACCTGCTGATGATACTTCTCCACCTTCTCGTTCTTCTCAGAAAAGATCGACACGTCCTTCACTACCTTTCCACGCTCAGTTTCAGACTGCACAGTGGACTAAATTCTTCACTTTACGACCGACTTCCTCTACTGCCTATCTTTCTGACCACAGTATTGGCAAGGCACTCCTACGCCATGTTGGTAAAGATATTTCTTTTCATGCTCCTAAGAGCGGTACGCGCATCGTCACCGTACAGAATGCTACCCAGGCTCATGAGCTTTCTCGTCTTTCCCATATCGATACTGTTCCTGTAACTATTGAAAAGCATCATTCCCTCAATTCTTGTAGTGGTACCATCATTCTGCCCCATACCATAGTTCAACAAAATTTCCAGACATGTGGCACTGACATTCTTGAATAGCTGGAACTCCAAGATCTCCCAATCCTCAAGGTAGACACTTACGTTCTTCCTGCCCGCGGGCGGAGACGATACCCTAGCAATGTGGCTCGTTTAACTTTTGACAGCCGTGAACTCCCATCCTCAGTTTATGTAGCAGGACATCGGTTACAAGTTCGAAAGGTGATACCTACACCGCAACAGTGTAGAAATTGCTGGCGATTTGGCCATCCAGCGAAATATTGCAGATCTATCGCCGAATGCCCAGTCTGTGGTGCCGATGACCATTCTAATACGTCTTGCAATCGACCTCCCTCTTGCCTTTATTGTCATGAGGCTCACCCTTCGTACTCTCGCCGTTGTCAAGTCTACTTAAACGAGCGGGAAATCCGTTACCTCAAAGAGGCAGAAGGTCCCCCTTATGCCATGGCAGTTTCTCATCTCCGCCTCCAAGGGAGACTACCTCGTGTTTCTTATTCCCGTGTTTCAAAACGTCCCCCCACTTCTGGTATCCCATCTTCTGCACCCACCTCTGTGGTTACCTCTCCCATAGTCACTCCTGTAGCTAATTCTTTTGCTGTCCTCAGCTCAGACGTCCCTACTTCAACGTCTCAGTCTGATCTTGCTTCTTCGTGTTCTCTCTCACAAGCCTCAGTAGCGACGAGATCTCGTATGACACCTCCTCCCAATCGTCCCACTACTTCTCAAAAGTCTAAAAAAGGTCCGTTAACACCTCCTACCCATCTTCCACCTCCTCATTTTCCCTTCCCTGTCTCTGTACCTGGTTCTCCCCCTCTCACTGGGTCTGTTACAAGTGTAGAGGTTCACCCTCCTCCTCGTACTGTACCTTCCTCCCCTGTTCCCTCCCAAGTTTCTTCCTCTTCGGCCACCTCCCAGGTTTCTGCCTCTTCTGTCCCCTTCCACGCTTCTCCAGTTCCCTCCACCCTTCCGTCCCCCCCTACCTTGGTACAGTTCATTACAGTTCCAATCTTTACTCATCCTCCCCCTACCATTTCCAATATTGTCTCCCATACAACGTCTCTGAATTCTGAAACACTTGAAGCAATCTCTGAATATATTGCAGAGACCAAACCATCAATGGACACTGATCCACCCTCCGCTCCTTCTCTCTCCTCTACTCCATCTGCGCAACTCCTTTCTTCACAGCGCACCGTTCCTTCGCTGCTTGAACATTTTCCACTGCCTCCGCATGTGGACTTTTCTAACCCCTCTAGTCCGTAGGAACCCTTACCTGCGGATTTCAGGTATCTTTATCATTGCCAATCATGGCCTATTTACAGTGGAACATACGCGGCCTCAGGGGTAATCGGGGTGAGCTTCAGATGTTACTCTCCCAGTTTTCCCCTGTTGGTGTTTGCTTACAGGAACCAAAATTACACTCTGCTGTTATCTCTCCCATCTCAGGCTATAATTTATTGTATTCTTCAAATCCTTTTCCTGATGGGACCTTTAATGAAAGTGCCCTTCTTTTACGCACTGATATTCCATACCATCAGCTATTTGTTCGTACTTCGCTGCATTACACAGCAGCCCGTATCCACTTGCATAGGTGGTATACGCTCTGTTCTTTATATCTCTCTCCTTCTCGGGCATTATCTATTCCGGATATTGCCTTTCTTGTTTCGTCATTACCACCACCGATTCTGTTACTTGGTGATTTTAATGCCCACCATTTCCTCTGGGGGGGGTCTCACTGTGATTCCCGTGGCATTCAGTTAGAGGCTTTTCTTGCCACCCACCCCCTCCATGTTTTAAATACAGGTACTCACACCCATTTTGATCCTCGGACTCACACTCTCTCTTGCATCGATCTCTCAGTCTGCTCTTCCTCCGCCGCATTAGACTTCACTTGGTCTGTTCTTCCGGACTTACATGACAGCGATCATTTCCCAATCATTCTTACTTCCCCTTCATATTCACCACCTCTTCGCATCCCATGCTGGCAATTTGATCAGGCAAATTGGAACCTTTACTCACACCTAACTGTTTTTAGAGAGGTTCCTTCTTTGTCCTCCATCGATGAGCTTTTACACCTCTTCTCGTCCGTTTTAACCGCAGCTTCTCATTCTATACCCCAAACTTCGGGCAGGCATTCTCAGAAATGCGTGCCTTGGTGGTCTCCTGCTTGTGCTCGTGCAGTACGTTTGAAACGCGCTGCATGGGGCAGGTACCAGTACAATAGAACCACAGAGAGACTTCTTGAATTTAAGCAGAAGCGTGCGATCGCTCGCCATGTCATCCGTGACGCTAAACGCATTTGCTGGCAAGATTATGTCTCCACCATCACCTCTGCTTCCTCTATGAGTGCAGTCTGGAAAAAGTACGAAAACTGAGTGGTAAATATTCTCCTGACCCGGCTCCTGTTTTGCGGGTTGCCGGTGTTGATATAGCAAACCCACTAGATGTTGCCAATGAAATTGGCAATCATCTGGTCCGTATTTCTCAGGGACTCCATCTATGCCCCTCATTTCTTTCCTCAAAGTCTGCCAGAGAGTTAGCACCCTTGGACTTTTCTTCTCTCAGAGAAGAATAGTATAATGTGCCTTTTACACTTCAAGAACTGGAGGCGACACTCTCAGCTTGCCGATCATCGGCAGCTGGGCTCGACGACATTCATATTCGTATGCTACAACATTTACATCAGTCAGCCCTTGCAGTCCTATTACGCCTTTACAATCTTATTTGGTCACAAGGAGTTCTTCCACAGCTGTGGAAATCCGCCATTGTTCTCCCTTTCCGCAAACCAGGCACTACGGGACATGAAACCTCCCACTATCGTCCCATTGCTCTTACCAGTGCAGTTTGCAAAGTGCTGGAACGCCTAGTAAATAGACGTTTAGTGTGGTATTTAGAGACACACAACAGTCTCTCCACTCGTCAATATGGCTTTCGTAAGGGACATTCTACCATAGACCCCTTACTACACTTGGATACGTATGTTCGTAATGCCTTTGCGAATAACCACTCAGTTATTGCCATATTTTTTGACCTTGAGAAGGCATATGACACAACTTGGAGGTATAATATTTTAGCGCAAGCCCACTCCTTAGGCCTTCGAGGCAATCTACCATCCTTCCTTAAGAATTTTTTAACTGACAGGCATTTCCGTGTTCGGGTTAATAATGTGCTCTCCCCAGACTTTATCCAAGCTGAAGGTGTCCCCCCAGGGATGTGTTCTGAGCACAACACTTTTTCTCCTTGCTATTAATGATTTGGCCTCTAGTCTTCCATCAAATATTTGGTCATCACTCTATGTTGATGACTTCGCTATTGCCTGTGCAGGTGCTGACTGTCACCTTATTACAGTTTCTCTCCAGCATGCAGTCGACCGTGTTTCCAATTGGGCCACCACACGTGGGTTTAAATTTTCCAGCACTAAAACCCACCAAATTACTTTCACTAGACGCTCTGTCATCTCCGATCATCCTTTGTACCTCTATGGCTCCCGTATCCCTGAACGTGATACAGTCAAGTTTCTGGGCCTCCTCTTTGATCGTAGGTTATCCTGGAAACCTCACATTACCTCTCTGAAGGCAACTTGCCACAGCCGGCTGAACCTCCTTAAAACCCTTGCTCATCTTTCATGGGGAGCTGATCGTCGAACCCTCCTTATCCTACATTCCACCCTTATCTTATCGAAACTTGATTATGGTGACCAGATCTATTCAGCGGCATCTCCTGCTACTCTCTCTAGCCTTAACCCCATTCATCACCAAGGATTACGTTTATGCCTTGGTGCTTTTCGCTCTTCCCCTGTCGAGAGCCTCTATGCAGAAGCGAACGTTCCATCCTTATCCGATCGCCGTGATGCCCATTGCCTTCGCTACTATGTACGCTTTCATGGTCTCTGCAATCCTTCCATTTATAGAATGGTCACTGATATTAGTAGACATTATTTGTTTGCCGCCCCTGTTTACTCCGTCCCTTCTCTCTTCGCCTTCATTCGCTCTTGTCTTCTCTTCAATTACCACCTTTATATGTACATGTAGCATTTCACTTTTCCCTACCCCCTTGGGAAGTTCCAGCTGTTCGAGTGTGCTCTCTCTCTCTCCCTTGCTCGAAAGCCCAACTGTCTACGGTCGCTTCCCGCTCTCATTTTCTTGACCACTTTCACTCTCATTCTCATGCCATTGCTGTGTACACAGATGGCTCTAAGTCTTCTGACGGCGTAGGATTCGCAGCAGTGTTTCCGGACAGCGTCATACAAGGGCATTTACTATCTTCGGCTAGTATTTTTACTGCTGAATTGTATGCCATCCTTACAGCACTTATCCGTATTGCATCTATGCCTGTGTCATCATTTGTGGTTGTCTCAGACTCCCTTAGTGCTTTACAGGCTATACAGAAATTTGATACACCTCACCCCTTAGTCCTCCGTATCCAACTTTGGCTACGCCGCATCTTTACCAAGCATAAAGATATTTTTTTTTGTTGGGTCCCTGGTCATGTTGACGTACAGGGCAATGAACAGGCAGACACTGCTGCGCGGTCAGCAGTACATGACCTACCAGTTACATGTAGAGGTATTCCATTTACGGACTATTTTGCTGCAATATCTTCCCAACGTCACACCCGTTGGCAACAACGTTGGTCTACTATGCTCGGCAACAAACTTCAATCTATTAAACCGAGTATAGGTTACTGGCCATCTTCTTATCACCAGTGTCGAGGTTGGGAGACTACTCTCTCCCGTCTTCGCATTGGCCATACTCGTCTTACTCATGGATATCTCATGGAGAGGCGCCCTGCTCCTCTCTGTGAGAATTGCCAAGTTCCATTATCAGTCAGCCACATTCTGTTGGACTGCCCACTTTATCAACGAGCACGCAGAATTTACCTCCGTCGTCGTCTTCGCTCTGCTGCTCTCTCTTTACCTTCCCTTCTCGCTGATGGACCCACCTTTCATCCAGACTCTCTCATTGACTTTTTGACAACAACTGACTTACTTCACAAATTCTGATACCTTCAGCCCTTTCTACTTCAATCTCTTGCTACCCCCTACCCCCGTACTATCTCCTGCCCCGCTGTTTTCTGTAACCTACTGATCATCCCTCCTCCCTTCTGCCATCCAATACCCTCGCTTCCTTCCCTACCCTGCAGCGCTGTATAGCCCTTGTGGCTTAGCGCTTCTTTTTTATTATAATAATAATATGGACTGGGAAGATTCTAGAGTGAGAGAGTAAATGGTGGATGTTTTCTGCTGCTGCCGGTGTTGCCATCACTTGCCATATTATGGCCTATTTTATTCATTCTAGAGTATATATCATGTTTCTATGTTATTAATATTTTTTATCATGTCATACTAGATAAATTGTGATAGATAACTAAGCCGTAGAGTTGATATTAGCATTATTTTGTCATGCCTCCTGAGAGGCTGGAACGGATTAATTGCATTTCAGTTAATTTAAATGAGGAAAATTGACTCAGCATACGAACAAATCAGGATACAAACAAGGTCACGGAATGGATTAGATTCGTAAGCCGAGGTTCCACTGTATTTTTTTTTTTACAGATTTACCAATGTTGAAAACTGAATATAGTTATTGACTTGCTTTTACTAAGGAACTAATATATTAATATACGAAAAACGTGCAAGTTGTATACCAGCAAGTATTATAAAAATATACAAATTCCAATAGACTCCAAAATTGAGTCATGATCTAATACAGCTAACATAATGCCAGAATAAAAACAAATCTATATTTTATGTACTTTTACCCCAAATAACAAACATGGCACATTTGCATCAACTGGTCACATGTAAAAATTTAATGCATTTCATAAAACAGCAATGGAGGCATTTTCAGGATATTTTCAATAAATTAATTTCATTGCATTTTGTTCTTTATTTGATTAATCACATTCTTTAACCCTTTGACTGTTTCCGTTGTATAGTATATACGTCTTACGAGCCACCGTGTTTGACGTATATATACTAAAAAATTCTAGTGGCTTCAAATCAAGCAGGAGAAAGCTGGTAGGCCCACATGTGAGAGAATGGGTCTGTGTGGTCAGTGTGCACCATATAAAAAATCCTGCAGCACGCAGTGCATAATGAGAAAAAAAAACTCCGACCATGTTTTTGGATTAAAATGCCAACTTTGCGGTGTATTTTCAAATAGTATTTATGGTTGTATTCTCGTTTTCTTGGTCTCATTTGATAGAATGGAAAACATACTATAGATTGAAAACATACTATAGATAATGATTGGTTTTACTATGAAAAGAACCTTGAAATGGAGCTCAATTTAGGGGAAAAGTTTGATTTTTGCTGATGTTCAAAAGTAAACAAATGATGTCATTGTCCAATAAATGTCCAACTAACCATTCTAATATGCAGTCATGAATGGGTTGACACTATTTATACAATTATTACAATATTGCAGTAGTCTGCATAACAGTAAATCTTCTATTTTTTGTTTGAATAAAAATTCAAAATAGAAAGCAATAGTAATAACAGAGGGGCCTGGAGACATGACTGATGAACAGAGAAAATGTTATTTTAGAGCCAGGAATGTCTGCATTGTTCATTCTGGACCCTATTTTGAAATTGTCATATTTTTTAATTTGCGTGAAATTGGCCAAATTGAAAATTTCTGACCATGTTATTGGGTATTTGAAATCGGTAAATGGGCAGTTTCTTGTACTCAGTCGATAGAACAAATGGAGCTCTAAAGAAATAGTTATGAGTTTGGTCAACTAGAACAATGGAATTAGCTGAAAATAGGGCTCAAAGTGGGCGAAATCGTCAATTCGTAAATATCGCCAAGGTCGCTTACTTTGCGAGAGCGTAAGTCCGCACGTTTTCCATCAAATTTCATTCTTTTGGTGTCATTACCATTGGGAAAAGATTCTCTATCATTTCATAAGTTTTTTTTTTTTTTTTTTTTTTTTTTTTCAAAAATTTTTCGACACCAGGAAACACCTCAGGATTTGGGGTTGTGACAGTCAAGGGGTTAAAGGTTTAAGTCATTCATACCTCTGATACTTCCATAAAAATTTTATTGCAATAGGAAAAGTATATCGCCATTTTTTCCAGACTAAATTTCCAATATAGGAGTGTATGAGGACCTGGGGGCTTGCTTACTGAACAAATTGCTTAGCAGCTAATCTTTCTGGAATGCATCACAGTCACTGAGTGGAGGATTACTGTACATATTTTAATTTAAGAATGAGATACAGCACAATTTTTTATTTTGTACCAATATTTTTGTATAGGTTGTCAAGCGCTTGAAAGTATTTGTTGTACATCATGCATTTGCAGTGTTCTCATTTACTTAAATGTGCATTCATGGTCATGAAAGTGACATGTTATTTTTTATTAGCATAAACATGTGATACTGTAACAATAGAATTAACTAAATTTAACAAAATGTAGAGTTGATTTATTTTGTTTTCATATGGATTTTAAATGTGTTGCATCATTATAAGAACTAAATTAAGATTAATGATGATATTTTGTAGATATGTAATTTAAACTTGTTAAATGATGTTAAATAAGCTATAGCATTATCTTCGTACATGAAGAGCAGTTTTAAGAATAAACTTAGCTCTCATTTTATGTTACTAGTCAGTGCCAAGTGTATGTTTATTGTATACCGAGTTACTCTTCCATGGTATTAAGAGTGTACTTGGAATCAGTATTTATGATATAGATTACAGTTTAATAACTGACCAGTGTAATGTATGTGATATTTTTAATGTTCCTTAATGTAATTGAGGATTTGCTTGGGAGAAATGATTACTTTTATCAAAGAGTACTTAGCAATATATTGTATGTGAGAGTACAGGTATATTCAAACCTATAGGATTTTTGGGGTGAATAGTGAAAAAATTAAGTTGAAGTTTTATTACTTTGTTTAGATGTATGTCTGTGTTATTGTATAACAGGGAAAGTTGTACAAATTTCTGTACTCATTGATTTTGCCAAATGACTTTGAGGTTTTGCCCTTGTAAAGCTTTCATACTTTCCTAATGAGTAAAAGGTAAAATAACTTTCAGAGGATATAAATTAACCACATTGAAGAGAATATGAATTTTTTTAGTTATTATATATGTATTGCTGTGAAAGGTGATACAGTAATGGTCACTAGCTTCCATTAGTTCTGACCTGTTTCAGACACTGCATTAAAATTGATAGTGTGATTAACCTGATAAGAATGAACAATACAGTACGGATATGTTGGACAAACTTAGAATTATTATATATGTAAATACGTATTCTAGACTAAAAATTTTTTGTTTTTTTAACACCGACTGTCTCCCACCAAGGTAAGGTGACCCAGAGAAGAAGATGCTTTCAAGATCATTAATTCAATCACTGTCTTGTCAGAAGTGTGCTGATATCACAGCTCAGAAATGTATGTCGAGTAAAAATAAAAAAGCAAATTGTTCATGTTTAGAAGTCTTATCATTAACAAATTTGCAGATTGTATGCAGTTATGTAATTTATTTTGTATTGCTGCTTTAACGTATTTTCTTTATTAACCCTTTCGGGGTTGGTGCCATACTAGTACGGCTTGCATGCCAGGGTTGGTGCCTTACTAGTACACACAAATTCTAGCGCCTTCAATCTAGCGAGAGAAAGCTGGTAGGCCTACATATGAAAGAATGGGTCTATGTGGTCAGTGTGCACAGTATAAAAAAAATCCTGCAGCACACAGTGCATAACGAGGAAAAAAAAACTCCGACCGTGTTTTTGGTTTAAAACAGCGATTTTGCAGTGTATTTTCGTATGGTATTCATGGTTGTATTCTAGTTTTCCTGGTCTCATTTTATAGAATGGAAGACATATTACAGAAACTGAGATGATTTTGATTGGTTTCACAATGAAAAGTACCTTGATATTGAGCTCAAAGTAGCAGAAATGTTTGATTTTTGCCAAAGTTCAAAAGTAAACAAATCATGCCATGCGTCCAATACACGTCAACTGGTGAGTCTGATATTCTTTCACAAGTGCGCTGATATTATTTATACCATTTCTGCGCTAATGCAGTGTCTGCACAACAGTAAATCTATTTTTTTGTGAGAATAAAAATTCAAAGTGGGAAGCAAAAGAAATGTAAGAGGTGCCTGGGGACGTGACTAATGAACAGAGAAAATGTTATTTTAGTGCCAGGAATGTCTACCTTGTTTATTCTGGACCCTATTTGGAAATTGGCATCTTTTGAAATTTGTGTGAAATTGGCAAAATTGCTAATTTCTGACCACTTTATTGTATAGTTGAAATTGGTAAATGGGTGGTTTCTTGTACTCATTCGATAGAAAAAATGGAGTTCTAGTGGAATAGTTATAATTTTTGTCGACTGGTACAGTGGAATTGGCCGAAAATAGGGCTCAAAGTGGGCGAAATCGCCACTGCATAAACATTGTCGAGATCGCTAACTTCACGAGAGCATAATTCCGTAAGTTTTCCATCAAATTTCACACTTTTGGTGTCATTATGATTGGAAAAAGATTCTCTGTCATTTCATAAGTAAAAATTTTTTTTTTTTTTTTCGAAAAATTTCCGAACCTGAGGAGAGGGCTTCTCGATCCTGAGAGTGTTAAATATGCTTGAACACTGCATGGACAGTTAAAAAGTGATCTCTGATATAATGTTATCAAAAGTAGGCTCTCAAACATTTATACAATACATTTATATTACACAAATATTACATAAAAGTATTTGGAATATAACTTTCCTATTTCACTTGATCTCTGAATTAACATGTATATGTGTACATTGTGGCTGTAGGAGGGGATGTGCAGGAGGAAATAGGAGAGATTGGTGGAATGATGAAGTAAAGGGTGTGATAAAAGAGAAAAAGGTAGCTTATGAGAGGTTTTTACAAAGCAGAAGTGTTGTAAGAAGAGCAAAGTATACTGAGAGTAAAAGAAAAGTGAAGAGAGTGGTGAGAGAGTACAAAAAGAGAACAGATGAAAGAGGGAGAGGCACTGTCAAGAAATTTTACTGAAAATAAGAAAAAAATTTGGAGTGAGATAAACAAGTTAAGGAAACCTAGGGAATGAATGGATTTGTCAGTTAAAAACAGAGTAGGGGAGTTAGTAGATGGGGAGCTGGAGGTATTGGGTAGATGGGAGGAATATTTTGAGGAACTCTTAAATGTGGATGAAGAAAGGGAGGCTGCAATTTCATTAACTGGTCAGGGAGGTATAACATCTTTTAGGAGTGAAGAAGAGCAGGATGTGAGTGTGGGGGAGGTGTGTGAGGCATTACATAGAATGAAAGGGGGTAAAGCAGCTGGAACAGACGGGATCATGACAGAAATGTTAAAAGCAGGGGAGATATTGTGTTGGAGTGGTTGGTATTTTTCTTTAATAAATGTGTGAAAGGGGGGAAGGTTCCTAGAGGCTGGCAGAGAACATTTTTTTTTTTTTCAACAAGTCGGCCGTCTCCCACCGAGGCAGGGTGACCCAAAAAAGAAAGAAAATCCCCAAAAAGAAAATACTTTCATCATCGTTCAACACTTTCACCTCACTTACACATAATTACTGTTTTTGCAGAGGTACTCAGAACACAACAGCTTAGAAGCATATACCTATAAAGATACACAACATGTCCTTCCAAACTGCCAATATCCCGAACCCCTCCTTTAGAGTACAGGCATTGTACTTCCCATTTCTAGGACTCAAGTCCGGCTATATAAAAATAACCGGTTTCCCTGAATCCCTTCACTAAATATTACCCTGCTCACACTCCAACAGATCGTCAGGTCCCAAATACCATTCGTCTCCATTCACTCCTATCTAACACGCTCACGCACGCTTGCTGGAAGTCCAGGCCCCTTGCCCACAAAACCTCTTTTACCCCCTCCCTCCAACCTTTTCGAGGACGACCCCTACTCCGCCTTCCTTCCCCTACAGATTTATACACTCTCCATGTCATTCTACTTTGATCCATTCTCTCTAAATGACCAAACCACCTCAACAACCCCTCTTCAGCCCTCTGACTAATCCCATGTATCAGAAATCTTCCCTGTGAGGATAGACTGAAAGCCCTGAATCTGCACTCTCTCGAAAGGCGTAGAATTAGGGGGGATATGATCGAGGTGTATAAATGGAAAACAGGAATAAATAAAGGGGATGTAAATAGTGTGCTGAAAATTTCCAGCCAAGACAGGACTCGCAGCAATGGTTTCAAGTTGGAAAAATTCAGATTCAGGAAGGATATAGGAAAGCACTGGTTTGGTGATAGAGTTGTGGATGAGTGGAACAAACTCCCAAGTACAGTTATTGAAGCTAAAACATTGTGTAGTTTTAAAAATAGGTTAGATAAATACATGAGTGGGTGTGGGTGGGTGTGAGTTGGACCTGACTAGCTTGTGCTGCTGGGTCTGGTACAGTGCTCCATCCTTGAGTGGGGATGACCGGACTGGGTGGGTCATTGGGATAATCCGGGGGGTGGGTCATTGGTCTAATCCGGGGGGGGGGAGGACATGGACCTGCTCCACCTGGATCAGTAGGCCTGTTGCAGTGTTCCTTCTTTCTTATGTTCTTATGTTTTATTAACTCCACACCTTCTCCTAATTTCCACACACCGAATTTTCTGCATAATATTTACACCACACGTTGCCCATAGACAGGACATCTCCACTGCCTCCAACCGCCTCCTTGCTGCTGCATTCACAACCCAAGCTTCACACCCATATAAGAGTGTTGGTACTACTATACTTTCATACATTCCCTTCTTTGCCTCCATAGATAACGTTTTTTGTCTCCAAATATACCTCAACGCACCACTCACCTTTTTTCCCTCATCAATTCTGTGATTAACCTCATCCTTCATAAATCCATCCGCCGACACGTCAACTCCCAAGTATCTGAAAACATTCACTTCTTCCATACTCCTCCCCAATTTGATATCCTATTTTTCTTTATCTAAATCATTTGATACCCTCATCACCTTACTCTTTTCTATGTTCACTTTCAACTTTCTACCTTTACACACACACCTAAACTCATCCACTAACCTTTGCAATTTTTCTTTAGAATCTCCCATGAGCACAGTATCATCAGCAAAAAGCAACTGTGTCAATTCCCATTTTGTATTTGATTTCCCATAATTTAATCCCACCCCTCTCCCAAACACCCTAGCATTTACTTCTTTTACAACCCCATCTATAAATATATTAAACAACCATGGTGACATTACACATCCCTGTCTAAGACCTACTTTTACTGGGAAGTAGTCTCCCTCTCTTCTGCATACCCTAACCTGAGCCTCACTATCCTCATAAAAACTCTTTACAGCATTTAGTAACTTACCACCTCTTCCATATACTTGCAACATCTGCCACATTGCTCCCCTATCCACTCTATCATATGCCTTTTCTAAATCCTTAAATGCAATAAAAACTTCCCTACCTTTATCTAAATACTGTTCACATATATGCCTCAATGTAAACACTTGATCTACACATCTCCTACCCACTCTGAAACCTCCTTGCTCATCCACAATCCTACGTTCTGTCTTATCTCTAATTCTTTCAATTATAACCCTACCATACACTTTTCCTGGTATACTCAGTAAACTTATTCCTTTATAATTTTTGCAATCTCTTTTGTCCCCCTTTCCTTTATATAAAGGGACTATACATGCTCTCTGCCAATCCCTAGGTACCTTCCCCTCTTTCATACATTTATTAAACAAAAGTACCAACCACTTCAACACTATATCCTCCCCTGCTTTTAACATTTCTGCCATGATCCCATCAGTTCCAGCTGCTTTACCCCCATTCATTCTACGTAGTGCCTCGTGCACCTCCCCCACATTCACATCGTGTTCTTCACTCCTAAAAGATGGTATACCTCCCTGGCCAGTGCATGAAATTTCCACTTCCCTTTCTTTGTCAACATTTAAAAGTTCCTCAAAATATTCTCGCCATCTACCCAAAACCTCCATCTCCCCATCTACTAACTCCCCTACTCTGTTTTTAACTGACAAATCCATTCGTTCTCTAGGCTTTCTTAACTTGTTTAACTCACTCCAAAATTTTTTCTTATTTTTATTAAAATTTCTTGACAGTGCTTCTCCCACTCTATCATCTGCTCTCCTTTTGCACTCTCTCACCACTCTCTTCACCTTTCTTTTACTCTCCATATACTCTACTCTTCTTATAACACTTCTGCTTTGTAAAAACCTCTCATAAGCTAACTTTTTTTCTTTTATCACACCCTTTACTTCATTCCACCAATCACTCCTCATTCCTCCTGCACCCACTCTCCTATAACCACACAGAGAACATGTATAGTTCCTATATATAAAGGGAAGGGGGACAAAAGAGATTGTAAAAATTATAGAGGAATAAGTTTACCGAGTATACCAGGTAAAGTGTATGGTAGGGTTATCATTAAAAGAATTAGAGGTAAGACAGAGTAGGATTGCAGATGA